CGGTGCTGGTCCCAATGCCCTAGTGAAGCACTAGGGGGCGCTGTGCTTCAGGGAGCACGGTGAGGTGTTCAATGGGGCGCTGTCCCCTGTGTTGCTAGGATGTTGGGATGCTTTTCCTAATTAGGCATAAACTCAAGGCCGTGCCCAGTCCTGGGTTGACTAATCCCATTATGTTAATTTGCAAGTTGGGTTGTTCGTCTCCCTGCTCTGGCCACGTTCCAGCCTGGGCAATTCCATTGCACCTCCCCAAGTCCCCTGGCGGCTTCACGCTGGATGTTGCAGTCGTCTTCTCTCCCTGTCCGCCTCTGCTCCATGGCTGGCATGCACTGGCTTTCGTCCACGTGCAATTATCTCGCCTCCTTTCAGTAAAATGGCTTTCTACTGGCTCACCACAAAGGGGGCTCCCCCTCTGTGACTGCTAAGGGGTCTGCATGTTTGTATGCCGCTGTGGTCGCTGCTGTCTTTTAAACAGCTGCCACGTTCCACTGCAGAGGTGGCTGCTTTCCAGTGGTGGGTGAAGTGACACTTGAATAAGGTCTAAGATATTGTGCCACTGAATTTCAGTCGGTGGCGCCGCCGAGCAGAAGGTGGGAGGCTGGCGGGTTATGTTGTGTTTGTTTCGTGTAGTCATGGGAACCGAAAGTGATTTGGGCCCGAGTTCCCGCTCTCTGGGCCAGATCCTCAGCGGCTGTAAATCGATGGAGTCCGTTTGTAGATTTGAGGCATCACTAAACCAGGCAGCGTTTTCTCTGCCCGCTAGAGTACAAGGTGGAGTCGCTGTGACTTGACATCTGACTCAAGTTTTGAGGGCTTCAGTCCAGCTGGAGGTTATGGGGGGGCTGCGGGAGTGGGTGGGTGAGGGCCTGTGATCTGCCATGTACAGGAGCTCAGATGGGATGAGCTGGTCCCTTCTGGTCTTAGTGTGGGACCGACAGAGCATGCGCTGGGAAAGGGGACTGGCCAGAGGCCAGAGCGAGTGTGCAGAGGGTATAAAGCAGCTGGGGCTTGGGGCTGGGGAAATGCCAGAAGCTGGGGTTGGAATAACATGGGCTGGGTTGAGTCCTGCTGAACCTCGCAAGACTGGAGACCAGCCCCTTTGAGACTCGGGCTGGAGTTACTCCCTGGAGCATGCGGGCACCACAAGCTGGGGTGTCCCAGCCAGCATTTCCCCCGGGAATTGAAATTAGGGAGGTGTTCGAATGGAGAGGGGGGTGAGGGCCGAGGGGTGAGACTGTGAGGGTGAAGATGGGCCATACGGCACCATAGGAAAAACTGGAAAATATTTCACAACCATTTGATTAGATTTAACTCATGTTAATTAAGGTTGGCTACTCAAGCCTTCTGTGAAGCACGACGTCTACATCCTTCTTGGTTCCTCGCTGTAATTTTGCACAACTGCTAATGAACTTCTCCAATGCAACGCGTTCATTGTTGGTGGCTTCTTGTGTGTCCAGCACTTCCAGCCCTTCAGCTGATAGGCTCATTAGTTCATTCACATGATCAGGCAGAAGGCGACTTCGTCCAGAACACAAAATTCTATTCAATGACCAAAAAGAACACTCAGCTGTAGCTCTTGGGAGTAGCAAGAGATGAATTCCTACTTCTTTCATCCCAGGAAACAGAGCACAAAGATCGGGTCGAGCCTCTCGTCATGATAAAAAAAAAAGTTGAAGTCAAATCTTCTTCCTTCATCATTGACATTCCACTCTATGTTCAAATTTTCTATTCTGTCTACTCTGCCCCATTGCTGGTAGCGCCTCACTCCACACAACTGCCGGTGTTTTAGAAGACAGGCATATGTAAAAGCTAGGCAGAGGTTGAGTAGAATCCAGCAGTTGCTGTTGTAGATTTGTAAGAATCAAATTGTGTAGTTTTTCAGTGGGCTTAACACACACTTCTGGTCCTCTTCACTTAAGGAGTCGATATAAATGCCTTCATTAGTCAACTTCTGGACTGAAGTCTTTGCTTCTTCCCGTACGTTTTCAATGGATCTCTCTCTGATTGATCCAGGCGTAGTTTCTAGTGCTGGACAGAACAAGGAGCAATGGTCTCAAGTTGCAGTGGGGGAGGTCTAGGTTGGATATTAGGAAACACTATTTCACTAGGAGGGTGGTGAAGCACTGGAATGGGTTCCCTAGTGTTGTGGGAAATTGACCACACGGTTGATTTTGGATCAGACAGCCTGAGGCTCCTTTATTGATAAATCAAACATGCATGCGTGGAGGAGTCAGCCAAGGCAGCCGAACCCCCCCGACAGATAAAATGCGAGAGATTATATAGGATAAAACCCCAAAAATTACATATACTTCCTTAAAGTTTTACATCCATATAAGGAATAAAGCAAAACAAGTTCTTCTGTTTTTTCTTAGTTTTGCCCTTTGCGGTTTCTTGCTCTGTCAGCTGACATCTGTTAATCATAATCTGTTACAAAGGTTAATTCTACTTTTATAATGTCTACAGTTAGTTCTGCTTTTATGGTTTTTGTCTACCCTTCTCCTTTTACCCCCCCCCCCTTTCTCCTTCCTCCAGGCCACACATACAGTTCACCTGACCCTACATACAGTTCACTTGACCAAAGTTTAGGCCTTAAACTATTTTTCCTCCACACCAGGGAGGTGGTGGAATCTC